GTATATTCTAGCTGTTTCAGTGTATTTTGTTTTGTTAAAAAATACTGCAAGCTTTTCCTTCCTTCCTTCTAGAAATCTGAATGGACTTTAGCAAAACAAATGACAAGCATTGCAGCTGCCATTGCTTTATATATAGTTGATTTTTTTCCCAAGTACACTCCTAGAATCTGAGAGTTAGCCATGTTTACAACTGAAGTGGAAAGAAAGTATACTCCTTTGCCGAGTGTGTGCCTGTACCCCTAAATCCACTAGAACTTGAATTGTACAGGAAAGTGTTAGTGTTTCCACAACACAAGTCTTTTAATCAGTTGTACATGCTTTACAATTCAAGTTTTGTGCCTTGTTTCTCTTTTGCTATGTTTGAAATCTTGTTTCAAATGCTGCATATCAGAATTTTTTAATAAGACTATTAAATCCTATATGTAGTTGTTACAATGATCTCTAGGCTGCATGTGCTATTTTACCTGCTCTAGATGCTGTAATAACTCCTCTCTTTTGTCCTCATAGCTAAGAGAAATATGTTTAATGAACATAAGGATTGTCTTTATGACAAAGAAGTCAGGCTTTTCTGTGCAGTTGAGGGAATAAAATGCAGTTTTAATATGAATCCGACTGTTATGGGTAGTGCTGTGTGAACTGTAGAGCAGTAATTCTTATATTTTTATGACCTTTCAATCTTCTTTAAAAAGGAAAAAAAAATTCTTCATTTTCCTTCCAGAAAACACATTCTCTTTACATTTTGATCTAACAACTTCTATGTGAAATGCAGTATTTTTAATAAATCAAAGCTACGTGGAAGTTCTCTGGTAAATGACTTTAAATCTTCTGTGACACTGTGATCAAGCAGTGCAACTGCATGCTTAAGGGTATGGAGTGTCAGTGTAATCAGAGATTTACTTATTCCTACCATTTAAAAAAAACTTTAGTTTTTTTATTTAAGATCTTGATGTTTGTTGAGTGTAAGACTGTTGCCTGGTTTGCATGTGGTCAGTCTTAACAGATAAAACCCTTCTAACTATAAAGTGTAGTGCATGTATGCCTGAAATGCAAAGTGCCATTAAACCAATACAACGTTTACAAAATCTAGAACATTAGGTATTAGAGGTTTTGGTTGTGCCCTTCTGTATGTGCGTTCGGTAGTTATTTAAACTCAGACAAGTATTTCTCATGGGATCTGTACTGTTCAAGTAGTTGTTCAGTAATTCTTTTTATCCTTGTATTCTATCTTGCCTAGTTTCAGGCGTTATTTCATGCATCCTTGCACAAATATAAAGTATCTGTCACTCTTACTATTTCTCAGAGCTCTCTGAATTCACTTTTGTAATAAAACTGGGCAAGCTCATGTGGTGGTGCTCTTATTTACAGATCAGGGCCAAGGTAGAAAGAGCCCAGAGTTATCAAGTGTCACTGAATTGCGTAGAAAGATAGTGGATCTCGGAGATCTCTGAAGATACTGTAAATATGAAAATGGGTAAGCTGGTAGAAGAGGAGAGATCTACCTTGAAAAGGCTCCTGGTTGAGCTTGTTTGAAAAACCCGAAGCATAGCCCAAACTGTGGGGGAAAAATATTCAAACAGAATCTGTACGTAACTCAATTTACGTGGGTGTTTTTAAAGCCATGAGAGTCCACGTTTTTGCCTACAGAACTAGTGTTTTATACATGTTATTTTAGAGAACATGTTTTCTTCCATTGCAGTGGTCTTGCTAATACACTCTTAAAAATACATCTTGACTGAATTCATAATTCAGAAGAGTTAAGGCTTGTCGTATGTGTGTTTGACTTTTTAGTCTCTTTACTCTTGTTTTTGCAGTTCTTGTGCCCTGGACGTGCAGGTTATGATATCATGGTCAGTTTAGGCTGATCTAAGACGATGTTGTCACTGAAAGGAGCAGTTACTTCAGTATCCTGTTTGCATCCCTTGTGCCAGCTTAAGTACTCCCATGGCTCTACAGAGTAGAATCAGGAAACTGATGTAATTCAGAACTGAGTAAAAAATAAATAGAGTGATTTCCTCAGTCGACCTAATGTGTGGCAGCAGAAGCAGCTAAGTCAGCACAGTGGCGGGAGCATAAATGTGGAGAGGAGGAGGATTGCTCCTCTTAGTATCAGCCTGGGGACTTACAAGTTGGTTTAAGACAGGGGAAAGAATTCTGGCATAACAGGGAGGGAGAGAGGGAAGGTGAGTACCAAAGTTGTTCTGGGCAATTTTGTTTCCCGATTTAAGTGCCAGTCAATCCTTAATCATCAGTATATAATCCAAGGTCAAGGAAAGCATCGATATATATATATATATCTCATCAGTATATATCAAATCGACCTCTACTGAGAATTGTTTCAAAGGAGAGGAATATCTAAGGATTGAAAAGGTTGTATTATGTAGAGAGCATTTCTTTAAGCATTTGTCTTTGTGTGTAGAACCTAAATTAGTACAACAACCCTGACTGATCTGTTTACTTTATCTGTTTTTATCAAACCCGAGATTTACTGCTTTTCAAAGAAGTCGTGTGTTAATTCTTAGGGCTTATGGTTATGCAATAGATCACCTAGTGGTTTTGACACCCCTCAAGACTTAACCTACCAAGTTGATGAGTGTAATTTATATGGCAAATCTGCAGTGATATATTCTTGGTTTTCTGTTGAAGGTCTTGATGACTAAGTGTTCCTACAGTCTAAACGTCTGAAGTCTTCCAGAAGAGGGAAATAGTTTGGCTGCGAGCATTTAGGAGGCAGATGTTTTTCTGTGTGTATGATTTCAGCTATATTTTACTCTCTGTTACCATCAAAATGAGGATGAAAATAAGGCCCAGCAGTTGCAACTGGCAACTTCAGATTTGTCAAATAGTTATAAAAGGGTGCTGGCTGAAGAAAGAAGACTAATAAAAGGGGAGAAAAACCATCACTTGGAAGAAGCTGAGAACTATGTTGAAGTCAAAGAGCATAAGAGCTTTCAAAACCTTCTTTATGTGATAATTATCATAGTTCTGTGGTTTGAGTTGGTTTGGGTTTTTTTTTGTAAAAGGTCGTTGTGTGCATGCAGTAACTTCCAAATGTTTGAAGTGTGGTGTTGCACATGTGTGCATATACCATTACTTTTTAAAAAACACTACTTTTGTAATTATTTTATGTGTATTTTTGTATTTATATGTAATGACATTGTTTACTTTTGGTTGTCTTATCCTTGACTATAGTGAAAATTGGGACAACAAGCTGGGCTTGTGAAATCACGTAGTCATTTGCTGCCTTGAGTACTAGAGGAGTGCCGATTATGTATAATCGTAGTTTTCTCCAGCAGGCTGTTAACTTTCTATTCTGTTAGAGTCGGTTTTACAGTACGTTTTAGAATGTAAGTAACATACTTGCAGTTGAGTATAGTTGTTGAGTTTGCTCGGTTCCCTCCATCCTCTTCCATTGGGAGCCCACTGTTAAAAATAGCTTATTCTGGATCTCAATCGCTACGTTTTTTCTTGAAATATCTGTGCAATCACTACAAAGATGTGAGTTTTTTGTTTTCTTCTGTATTACCGTGCGTTGTTCGGTGCATTACGCTCTTTCACCAGGTGGCAGTGGTTAACTGAGAGTGCTTTCATGACTGAAGGTACTTGTAACTGCTTTGTTCTCACTAGGATTTGAAATTTTAATTGATTAAATCAGTAGTTAGCTAATCCAAGGTGAAGGAATACATTTTAATTTGGTTTAGCATTGAGCACAAAGCCAGAGGGTCTAAAATCAGGGCTGACCTGAAGTTTTATAATGGTGATACCACTTACTCCTGAGAAAGGAGCGATGCAAGAATGCTGTCCTCCTGGTTAGACTCTTTCAGTCTGAGAGTCATGAAAAGGTACAACCACTCCCTTTAAAAAAAATCTTCAAGAATAGATTAGGTGCTTATTATAGCTCTGCTTTGCTTTTTTTTGTTTGTGTGTTTGTTTTTGCAGTGACTCCTTTAATAATGGAATTGTGTTGTTGATCTTAAGCTCTATAGAGCAATGTGGTCTCTACTCTCCTTATTCTTTTTAAACCCCTCTTCCCAGAAAATTTACATTGAATCTTTGCCTGAGTTAACTGCACAAGGACTTGAGTCAATTTAAAGTCATAACGAGGACAAATGAGTTTCTGGTTTCCTGTAATGTTGACCAATCTGGTAATGTTCTTGCAAATGCCCAGGATTTTGGATTGCAAAAGGCAAAATACAAGCCCTTTCCCTTTGTAGTGAAGAGACTGCTTTTTATCTCAACAAACATACTACCTTTGTTTGTCAACTACTTTAAAGTTCCACGAGACCTTTTACACCAGTCGAGATAGCTTGTATGTTCTGCTGAATTTATTGTTACCTCCTAGGTTAACAGGCAAATAGGAAACTTCATTGTTTCTTTGTAAATTAGGTGGGTAGTATGATTAACACCTTAAAAAATGGCAATTCATTATTTTTCTCGATATAGAGCAGCACAATAAACCCAATTCTCCCTTGATATTCTAACCTTCAGCTGTCTTCAGTAGTGAGTAAAATGTGAATCCGTGAAATACAGTTGTTTCATGTTTAATGGATTTGTAAATTCTATATTTGAATTCATGTAACCATTTCTTGATCTGTTCAATATACTGACATTAAAGTAAATTGCTTACAAGTATGCTGTGTACCTATTTTAATATGGCTTCAGGTTTGGAACAAAATGTATAATGGAATTTATGCTAACAGTGCCATAAGAACAAAAATGTGTGCATATATTAAAATGTTTAATATGATTGTTGTTTGTGCCTTCTTTTAGAGTCATTATACTAACTTTAATACATTTATTTCAAGGCAGAACCAACATTTATGAACAGAAAATAATGTTCGGTCTCTAGGGCAGAATTATTTTTGTTATTAAAGACTGAAGTGATTAATACAAAACCTGGTGCCTTTTTTTTTTCTTTTTTTTTCCCAAGACAGACTTTATTGTTTAATTTTGGGAACAGAGTGGAATAAAATCCGTTATCTTTTTTTGTGTGTGTTTTCAGGCTCGGATAGCGTTTTTACAAGGGGAAAGAAAGGGTCAAGAAAATTTGAAGAAAGATTTAGTGAGAAGAATAAAAATGTTAGAATATGCATTAAAACAAGAAAGGTAGGTATTCAAATTGCTCAGCTTCTATGTGACCTGAAAGACTTAACAGACTAAAGGAGTTTATCATGTATAAACTACCTTTACGAGGCGATTCTGTGTTATTTTATGTAAAACGTCTTTATGGTTGCTCATCTTTGCAGCGTGTTTTCTGATAAGCTTTAGTGTTTTGATGTGTGCTAAACAGAGAAAAGTACAGTTTGGGCAGTTTCCCTGTTCTGATTTAGAGTAATGGTATACTAAGTAAGAATAAATGTTCTGAAAATGTTTATACCTTATTGCTATACCTTTACCTGCTCTTCAATGGTATTAAACTTGAAAGGATGAAAAATATTGTCCTCCTGAGTCTCTACAACTGTTTTCTATGTGTCACATAATGAAAACTATATTTTATGGCAGAGCAGAATTCTTTAAAAGCTAGTGTTACATTCTGAAGCATTGTGCTTTTCTGTGGTAGATGGTAGAATTTCTAGTCTTGGTAGGTTCATTTTCTGTAGCATTAAATTAATGCTTTAAAAAATAAAATTCCATTGAATCCATGCAGGCTGATGTCCTTCATCTTACATGTCCTCCTGTTGCATAGTTCTTTCATTTGACCAAAATTTTGTAAAAAGTAAGAAAATAATCATTTCATGTGCCTATACTTTTCGTAGTGGACTCAATTCTTGTATTTAATTTTATCTTGCTCTTAAAAAGTAGCTGAATCCAATATCTTGTAGATCAGGCAGCAAAATAGGTAGCCTTTGTTTGTTTATTTTGATTTGAGGGGAACCTTCCTGCCAGAGTAGATTTAAAATGTAGCGAAGTGTAGTAGTGCAGCTTCACCTGGGCAGTTTTTAGTTAGCTGTCCCAAAGTAATTATGTCCTAATGTATTTTACATTATAAATTCGTACTATGAGTGACTAGCACAGAGATAACTTTGATTACTTGGTTTCATACTAAAATCTAATGTTTTGGCAAGGGTGGCTGCATACCTGTGTGTCAAGTGTGCGCTATAAGGGTGCTTTAAAAAAGAGCAATGTTCCCACAGAAAGCCTTGCTGGCGCATCTTGTGTGTTCTGGTGAAGTGAGAGACAGACAAGATCCATTTCTTCATTCAGCCTTGTCCTCTACATGGAACTCAGGGTTTCCACCTGTGTAAGGTGAAAAGTTACATTGTTGTACAGGAATTGTGCAAGTCTGGATTCAAGGCACATGAAAAGTATGCCAAGTGTTGGGGTGTGTGTATTTTTCCCTTAAAGAATATTGAACGTGTCGAAGGAATAGTGTGCTTTTGTGGCAGACCCGAGTGTCTGTGCTGTACAGAATGTGCACCGTAAGGCTGTGAGGATTGTGCACTTACAGGGAGAGATGAGAGGCACAGAATTACAGCTGGAGGGTGAAGACATTGTATAACAGAGTGCTGCAGAATTTGGAGGTGAGTGGCATTGGTGAAACCTACTTCCTGCTTTCTCCTCCAATGCAGCTGCCTTTATAGTTCGACTTCCCATGAAATTCCAGAATTCATGTGATGGGCAAGAAACTTGTACAACAGGAGCAGAACAGCAAAAGCACGTGGTTTGCTTTGGTTATTGCGACTAGTGCGCACAAGCCAACACTGCATACTTTTCAAGAGGAAAATCCTTGCTTAGGTCTCGGCCAGAATTCTCATGAAGATTGCTAAAAACAGGAACTGAAACTTTGGGGTTGATTGGTGAATGTATGGGAGGCAATGAGGAAGCTTTCTGTTATTTTTTTTGTTTTCTTCTACAAGTGCGTAGTGGTTTGAGGGGATCTAATTGGAAAAGTATGAGGGATTGAGTAAGGAGAGCAAGCAGGTACTGACTTGTCAGTAAATCATCCAAGAATGATAGTATGTTAGTTCCGGATTGTTGCACTGAATAAAGCATTCAGGAAAATAGCTGTTGGGTTTTTGTTACTGTTCCTCTGAGTGAAGAATCACAACTAATGAAAAGAAAGCAGCCTCAAAGTAAAGTAAATTCTGAGGACTTCAAATCTAAAAACTCCTGACAGCCGTTTTCAATGTTGCATGTGACTCCTCTCCCACCCCCTTTCTCCTCCTCTTGTTGCCAGCTCCCTGATGCTGTCAGAGTTTCACAGAGTGAAATATCAGATTATAGGGAGTCAACCTAATTCAGACAATGATGACTGCCGTGATTACAGAAAAAGGTTGTAAAACAGGACATCAGTGTGCAAGATTAAATAAAATGCAGTAGTAACAAAATACGCTTGATATTTCTGGTGATTAAGTGTGTGCAGCAGGTTTGATAGTGTTTTACAGAAGAAAAATGTTTATTATATTAATGTCCTTAAATATTTTGGTAGTTCTGTACAATTTTTGTAGTAAAATTAGGCCTTAAGTAGTTACACAGCTGGGATTTTTTGTTGGTAGCTTGTGTATATTGCTCTCTGGTGTTTAGCAAACCCAGCCAACCTTGTGTACTCTAAGCTGCTCTACTCCAGGCTTCATTAGCACAGTGCTGTGCTTAAATTAATCAGACTTGCGGAGATCGTAGAGCAGCGGCTGTATTTTTGACTTGGTGGACTTTGGAGTGGAGCTGGCTTGTATAATTGCAGCTGGGTGGTAGGATTCAGCAGTTAAATAGCAGCACGCAGCTAAATCACCTTAGGGGATTGTTTCTCCTCCTATTTTTCACTCGTAGAAACATAGCTTTAGAATGGTAAGTCAATACTCAAAGGATTCAAAAGGTGCCTCTTGCAGAATTTAGTTACGTGTGGTGTGGAGGGGCTTGTAAACACCACTGTAGCTTATTAGTGATTTTTTTTTTAAGATATGTAATTATTAGCCTTTTTTGTGTGAGAATATGGGGAGGGATAAGTGTGCCAATATATATAATATATTGAAATTTAGTAACATTGATTTCTTACTGAAAAACTGAAGTTGGTAATCAAAGGTAATGTGAAAGACAGTTGATCTCGTTATGTGCAGCAGTATTTTGGCTTATTTGAAATGGCTGGTCATTGGTATAATTTAGATCAGATACATCATTATCAGACTTTAATTAAATGTTTTTAAAATATACCTCCAAAACGGAACAACTACTCCTAAACAGTATTTGCCACAGCTCCAAACTGAACAAATGTAGGTTGACGTTTCAATTACAGTGCTTTATTTGCTTCAAATGCAAAACCATTTTGTCAGCTTTATTTAATTTCACAATTTCTTATCTTTTTTTCGTTTCAGTGGTTTGTGTTTTCTTTTTTAACCCCCAAATATACAGTACTTTATAGGGCCTATAAATAATAGTGGTATACTCTGTTCTGGAAACCTTGGTGGAACACTGCCCTGTTACAAAGTGGAACAAAGTGGGGTTTTGGATGAAATATGAACATACTCACAGATAAATAAAAAACCATGATTCTCTTTAATTGGCAGTCACTCAGATTCAGGTCACACAAGTGCCTAGTCTTTGGGAGCCTTACAATTTTCCAGTTACAATGCAATTGCTGTGAAATGCAGGATTTTGTATTACTGTAAGGCTCTGAACAACCTGGTCTCGTGGGAGGTGTTCCTGTCCATGTTGAGGGTTTGGAGCCAGGTGATCTTTAAAGTTCCTTCCAACTCAAGCAATTCTACGATTCTGTAAAGGGTCAGTAGTGCCATCTACTGACAGCTTGTTAACGAGACTGTTCCTAATTGCAATACTGGCAGAAACTTCTGTAATTTAAAAGAAAATCTTCTACATCATCAAACACATCAGGCAGCATTTGAGATCACCTTTTACCCACAGTTTGGAAAAGCTTGCAGTAGTGGCTCAGCTATTTGAGCAGCTTTGTTGGAAATCCTCGATTCTGTCCAGAATGTATTCCATTATGATTCTTTTCTTGAGCAGGTTCATATCTGAAAGTCTTTAAAATCTGTGGGAACTAGATATGCTTCAGTTTCTCTTAAAACTTTGGTTGCATGTTTTAATTCAGAATTATGCAGACAGCTCTGTTTTAGAGACTTCTTTAAAATGTGTCTGCTAACATTTTTGCAGAGGTCTTTTGCCTTGGGTCTACTGGAGGACATCTAGAGTTCTCCCTGAGATTTTGAGATTTTTGCCAAGGGTCTATGAGGCAAAAGTCAAATTGGGAAAGGTCTAGGATAGAGTTAGAGAATTGGAGGATATAGTTGCAGGTAGTTCGTATGATATTCCTGGATGTTTGAAAGAAGTGATGGAGAAGGAGAGGTTAAGGGATCAGAGCTCAGAAGTTGGGAAGGAGTGAGGCGAGTTTGTGTAGGTGAACTGAGCAGGAGTTGGAAGCTAAGCCTCCAGTCCATGAGGAAGAGAAAATCAGTAGAATTCCCAGTGCTGAGGGAAGCTGTCACTGGAATGTGGTTCTTCAGAGGGAAAGCTCTCAGTCATAAGCAAAGGCAGAGCAGAAGAGAAATTGCAGTGGATATTGAAGGTGGCAAATAAACAGGGATCCCAAATGGGAGTTTCATCCATGGTAGGGCAGTTGGCTAGCTGTGACAGCGCTACAGCTGAAAAAGTCATCTCTGCTAAATAGTTGAACCTACTGAAAGGTTTTTGAAAGGTTCTCTAGGTGTTGCGTGTGGGAAAACAGTCTTGGAGAACATCAGTAAACTCATCATAAATTATTTGATAATGGTGAATAATTATAAAAAGTTTATATCGAAACTGTGTTCTTGAAAGACCAGAACAAAATGTCTAATGCAATAATTGTCACAACAGTTTTATTTGGATAAATTGTATTACGTTAGTGTGATTGTTTTAAATGGGAATAGTTGAATGTTCTGAGTTGTTAAAAGTATGATATGCTAATTTGTTCAACATCTGCATACTTATTTCAGGGCAAAATATCATAAATTAAAATATGGCACAGAACTGAACCAAGGTGACTTGAAAATGCCAACTTTTGAATCAGGTAACTTTTATACAATAGCCTGTTTTAATATCATTTGTTTTTACGTTGTTCTGGATTTTCACTGTTTAATTTATTATAGCTTTCAGTCTTCCCCCACCCCCACTTAAGTGTGTAATAGAGAAGATGTCTCAGAAAGAGTGGGTAAATATTGTTTAATCTGAAAATCAAAATTAGTAGACCTTTCTTTTTTTTGAAAGAGCTTTGAATGTTGAGGAAAGCTTTAAATAATTTCTTATTTAGCTACTGCTTCTCATTATTTTTTTATAATACCCCTTTTTGAAAAATTTAATATTTTACCGTCCATCCATAAGGAAAACGTAAGTGCAGAGTAACTGTAAGAAATACGGTTGGGTTTCGGTGCTTTTACAGCATGCTAGTTTTTGAAGAATGAGTTGAAAAAAAAGTAACTGTGTTGTCTTGGCCTGGTAAAAATGTTGTTGAGCTTCTGTTTTTATCTAAAATCAAGGAAAAAATCCTTAGAGGAAAGAAAAAACCCAGGCTGTCCTTATTGTTGCTCTAGACTTTGCGGCATAGATACGAAGTTCATCCTAACGACGTTGCTCTTCACAGCATTGCAAAGAGGGGAAAGCATTTTTCGTAACATTGGACTATTTAATAAGCAGAATTACATGTCGCTTTTCTTGACGTGTATGTCTTTGGGAACTCACACTGTTGGCCTGTATTTGTGTAATGCACCTCAAAATCCTGGTCTACAAATTTTTATAATTTCTTCTTCCTCCCTCCTTTCCCCCCACCCCGCCTTTTTGGTTTTGTTTAGAGGTGCCCCATTTTGGGTACTTCTATACCCGTTTCAAACTAGAGATCAGAGACCATGATTCATATTTCTTTCTTGGTGAGATTTTTCATATGTGTTTTAAAGCCATATAACTGAGATGTTAAAAAACCTTGAACTATTAGTTTGTGCTGTGGTTTATAGTCTTTGCCATAGTAAAAGTGCAGTGGGTCTAGATTTTAATTGTTGATAGTAAACTAGTGGAATTTGTGTTAAATTACATGTTTGTTTTCTCCAAATGCTGATATGTGTCACTGCTTCTCTTATTCTAATTATATCTTCCATGTTCCTTTCTAAGCATCTCTGCTTTGTAAAAGACATATAGTCTGATTTTGTTCTGTTGGATGGATTCTGCTGATCAGGGCAAGGGTTTCTTTTGTGTACAAGTTAAATATTTATTCAGTTCCTTTTTTGCTTGTTAAGGGGTCAGGATTCTTTTAACTGATTGAATTCTGTGAAGTTATCTACTTGATGCTCCACAAAGAATTAGGGGAAGAAATAAAACTAAACAAACACCACGTAAGATTGCATCTAATTTAAAAGGGCTTTTGAAGATTTGCTGTTAGTTTCATTGGTATCTTGTAAAAAATAAATTGATCTTTAAAAAAACCCAAACCAAACAGAAAGCCTCACCCGATTATGTCACTGTATCTTTCAGAAGAAACCAAAGATATGGAGGTTCCTGCAGTACCTCAGAATAGCCAATTGACCTGGAAGCAAGGCAGACAGTTACTGAGACAGTAAGTAACATTGTCGATTATTGGTGTGTTCAGACTTTTCCGTGAAGTACAGGGAGCTGTATTTATGCTTGCTCTGTGAAGTAGGGTAATTGAGGTGGACAATTAGTGGTTCACTTTTTAGGACTTTGTAGTCTTGAGCAGTATAGAACAAGGTTTTCCATGAGATGGAGAGCAGTGAAGCTTCTTTTTCCAGAAATTGTGTAGTAGTGACATTTATTTTTAACAGTAAATACTAATTTCGTTTCCCTCAAATGTGCTTCCCTCTTTCTTTCCTCCCTTAATGCATCTAGGTATCTTCAGGAAGTAGGTTATACAGATACAATACTGGATGTACGCTCCCAGCGGGTAAGGTCTTTGCTTGGGCTCTCCAATTCAGAACCAAATGGTTCAGTAGAGACAAAGAACTTAGAACAGATCCTCAATGGGGGTGAATCTCCTTCCTCAAAACAAAAGGGACAGGAAATCAAAAGGTAAGTGAAGAGATGAAAAATGCATGAAATTCTAGTATGTTTTGCTTAGTCATTGATACGTACTCGTCAGTCCACGTTGAGCTTTGTGCTGTGGAGTGTGCACCCCGGTGCCTGCGGCTGACTGCCAGTGATTAGGAACTGAAATCCACTATACGTACATTAATGTGTGTACATTACGTAATGTATATGTATAGTACATAGTTGTATGTACAGGAAAAGATACAGTGTACGGAAGTTGAAGTTGTCATATAATCACTTTGGAGTTGTTATTTGAAGGAAAGATTCTTCTGAGTTGTGCTTTTATATGAAGGAATCGGACATCTGTAGAAACTTTCACACTGAACCGTTTCTTGTTGATTTGCTAGTTTTAAAACTCTTGTTAGGTAGCAATTATGTTTAATGTAGTTAATCTTCTAAAATCTTTTAAAGTAAACTAGATTCTCTGTTAATGTTTTTATTTATGTAGGAATTCTGGTGATGTTCTCGAAACGTTTAACTTCTTAGAAAATGCAGATGATAGTGATGAAGAAGAAGAGAGTGACATGATAGAAGATATTGCAGAAGGAAAAGAAAAGCACCGGATAAATAAGAAACACAAAGTAAAAATTTTTAAATTTATTTTTTTAATAGATCTGAATTCCCCTTTAAAGACAGAAATATTTTTCTTTCCAGATGTTTTTAAATGTGTCATGTTAAAACGCTTGTTGTTCTATCTTTATTATGTGAGTGGTTTGTGAGCAGTTGCATTATTGGCAAATTTGGTGGTTTAGTCAATATATTATCCCGAAAATTTTAAACCAACCAACCAACCACCCTGTTTGCAAATGTGAATTCATTGCTGAAAGAGAACTGAATTGCCCATCTCAGCTTCACTGCATACATAGTTTCTCAATACACACTAGTTAATAAGGCAAATTTAACACAATACAACATGCACCTTCTCTGAATTTTGGACAAGATAGGAACAGTTCCTTAGACGAAACTAAAATATGTGATGGGGAAAAAAAAAATCAGTTCCATGTTAAATCCTTTTATACATCTTTTTACTAAATATGTTAAGAGCGTAGCTGAGACTTGACTCTAGTAACCTTCTGTTTAAGGTTCAATTAAGTTTTGTTCCATTTTATTTTTCTCTCTAGTTTTCCATGCTGTGAGCAGCTTTCTAGGTAGGGTAAGACTGTATTACCTGTCCCATTTCACTTCTTTTTCTCCTGCACTGGAAGAATCTTCCTGTCAGTGGGATTCCTTTTATGTCAAGAGCTTTGTTTATGAAGGTCATGCTGACAATTTTAGTACTCTTTGCTCAGTAGAGTATTCTGTAGCAAGAGGACCCCTCTGGGTATGTTGAATTTTGTTAAATAGCTGGCAGCGTTAGCTCAGCTTTTCACAAGTCTTAATTTCCCAACTTGACTTGTCAGGAAGGGCTTTCCACCATAGTTTCAGTATTAATTTGTACTTCTGAGAACAGATTAAGCAATTGGTCAGATCTTCTTTGTACTGAGGCACTAGGTAGTTTGATAAAAAGATTATCTAATAAATAAGTAAAAAGCCAAGCACGTATGAAGACATGACACGTGTTTTTTGACTCTTGAAAAACCTTGGGCTTTTGTTTTTGTTTTATAGAAAGTAAAAGGATCACTTAAAGTTGTCTTTGTAAAAAATGTCTTTCTTCAAACACGTAAGAATATTGTGCAAGTCATAGAAACGTAGCTCCATGTGGTAATTTTCTACACCTGTGTAATGAAAGAAAACTTTTCACTTATGACTTGGTAGAGGGGTTTGTTTGTTTTATTTGAGGTGAAGGTGTGGTAGAACTAGTAAAAAGACACTGTTCTGAAGACACCATGTTTTCCAAGCTTATGCTTAACACTGAAATAAAAAGTGAAAAGAAAAAAAGGCTTCTGGGCCAGTAGAAAATAGTTGGTAAAGCTGCTCTGCAGAGCTATTTATACAGCAAGAAAATCAATGAAATTTTCTAGGTGATGTATTTTAAATAAAAATTCAGGACTGAGGTGTATGGGATCATTTCTGTTGCTAATCCTAGTGTCAGTATTATTTTCATTTCATAGTGGTCACTAGACTGCACTGTGCTCTCTTGAAAATTATTTTTTTTAATAAGCAACTCTGGATTTTACTATATTCAAGTACGTTTTTCTGCATTTCATGTTAAAAAATGTTTTCCCCTGCGATCAAGTACTCAGATTAATCTATATAATTTCTAAACTAAGTATTTTAATAGAAAATTTATTCATGATTTAAATGCAGAAAAACGTTTATGTGCTTGCAGATTGGTAATGAAGGTTTAGCTGCTGACCTTACAGATGACCCCGATACTGAAGAAGCTTTGAAAGAATTTGATTTTTTAGTGACAGCTGAAGATGGTGAGGGAGCAGGAGAAGCTCGAAGTTCGGGAGATGGAACGGAGTGGGGTAAGATGCTAGCAAAAGCATTTAGAAATAATTGAGTATTTGTTCATGATACTGCGTAAGAGTTGCAGTACCTACAGAGATGATGTGGATGTATGGATGATTGTGATGATCCAATGATGGTACTTAGTTAATAGTGTATATGATGCTGAAACTTTCCTCTGTGTGTGTGTGTGTGTGTATATATATAGATGCTGTTGTAGTTGCCACAAATACAATTATAGTTACATTTGTTTCAGGTTTTGGTTTTGATTCCAAAACTGAAAGAGAATATTTTCTTTCTTGAAAAAGAGTGACTAGGATATTTCAATAAATTTGGCTTTCAAATCTAGATTGTATTTTTTCCTATTTGTTTCTGATCAAGAGCTTTAAACTTTTTGTGCTTGAATTTCCTTGGTGTACTCGTGAAAATGGGCAATAAGTGTATTTAGTTTTTCAGGCTGAAATTTTTAGGTATTATTACTAATGTGGCTTGCATTAGTAGAGTAAAAAAGTACTTTTTTACTGGCCCAACTTCTTATATGTTTAGACTATGTAATAAAATCAAGTAGGTTAATCATTTGAAATGAAGAGAAGAAATTGGAAGAGGGAGAGAATTTGAGTAGGAGAAAGAATAATGAACTGGGTAACTTGCATCTGCCCTGAAACGGGAAATGACCATCTTAGTTTCTGAACTGCGGTATGAGAACTGTTGTGGCTGCATATGGTAAGTCTTGCATCGTAAGGCAAAAAAGTGCCACTAGATCGTCTTGTTTGATCTCTTGTTTCATGTCAACGAGACAATGAAATTTGGCATACTTAACACCTTGGTGAGCAAAGAAATCGAAATACTGCCACTTCTTCCAGGAAAATCATCCAGTCTTCATTTTGAAGATACCAGGCATCAGAAAGCATTTCTTCCTGGAAATAAATATCAAAGGGCTATTAGTCACCCTATTTTTAAAATTGAGTATTATTTTTAGTGGAAGATGAAGCCAGACAAATTGTTACCTTTACTCTTTATGTAAGACATCTCTTAGGCACTGAAGCTGAGGTTTTTGACTGTCAGTTTTTAACATCCTTTCAAACATACTGTGATGCCGAAAGTTCTGGTTCTACCGTCAATCTTGCCACTATTGTATATAGAAGGAAAGACACCTTTGAACTGTAGTTCATGCAGTCAAAGATTTATCCATTTTTTCAGAGCAGGCTGCTGAAACTTACCAAAGTAGCTTGTCCATTGAAATTCTAAGTAATTGCTTTCCAAGATTACTTTCCAGTATATCTCTGTCTTCTCAGGTGGTTACCAGGAATGAAAGGATTCTGATTTATTTGCAAGTTATATTTTTCAAACTTCTTTCCAAGCAGTTCAGTCGCTCTTCTAGACTTAAAATAAAATTAAATTTAAAAATCTTATTTTAAAACTCAAATTGACCCACCACACTTCTCAGACAGCAGTTTGAACGTCTTTTGTTAAAATTTAAGTGAGCCCATAGTAAAAGTAAGGCATTTTAGGACTTTGTACACACTTGCGACTGCTTTCTTGTGACAACTGGTATAGCTGCCGTTATCAAAACGCTCAGGTCTGAGGCAAGAAAGTAGGGATGAGGAAATAAACATAGAACAGAGTTTTTAAGACACAAGTAGGTTTAAGTTTTGCTGTATGAAAACAATAATATATTTTTAACGAAGTAACTATTTAAATGAGTCAGAAGACATACTTCCAACTAAGGTAGCAGTGCTTCTTTCATCGTATGTCACCAGTTTAGTACAGCTGTTCTTTCCTTAAGTGGAAGTTTCAGGATACAGTCCATCAGGCTCTGGGGTTAAGTGTCACTGTTTTAAAGATAAATTTGAGATGTTTAAGGACAGTGCTTCTTCATTATCTATTAAAAATAGCATTTAAAATATTGTCCTGCTTAAATGTCTTCTAAAATAATATATTGCCCAAGCCAGTTTCTTTAACCCTGTTACATTGGAACTGTCACTACTTGAAACCCCCAGGTCCAACCATTTATTTATTTAGTTGTGAGGGAGAATGGCATTTAAATTGAATACTTGTCATTACTTTAGCAATTGCACCAAACATTAACATTTCAGTTAAAATTCATATTTTTCTTCATAAGGTAAATAGTTGTTCTGCTTTCTTCTCCAGCTTTTTTTCTTCTTCCTGTTTTAGTTTTCCTGTCATTGCCATCCTTCTGTCACTTCTTACTCTTCAAATATTTAGGCTCTCTGAAAAGATGTATATGTTCTTACGTGTAATTTCTTTATGATGCTTGTATTTAGTATCTGGGAACCAAACTTCTCATGTTTAAGCTCTAAGTCTGTTGCCTAGTCTTGCTTTATTATTACTTTCAATACTTAATTGTCAGAGTATTATTGGTAGATCTAACTTCAGATACACTAAAATTTTTCATCACCAGATTTGATAGTTACATCTTTGCTATTCCCGCTCGGTCCCCATGTGTTGCCTGGTCTAGTCGAGCGGTGACGTCCCTGCCCACAACAGGGAGGTTGGAGTAGATGATCTCTAAGGTCCCTTCCAGCCTAGGCCATTCTATGAAATCTGTTGGAAACTTCTGCAAACCAGCCACTGGAAGTTTGGGTTGGTTTTTTTTTCCTTCCTGTAATATGACTTTATTAACACATTCTATTTTTAAGTGCCTCTTTTAAAATACTTTAAGTCTTAAATCATTCTCAAGCGTTGTGGTTTGAAGTATCCTGTCATGCAACATGTTTTCCGTAGGAATACTGTATCTTCAAAATGATGAAAGATGTGCAGATTCAAACAGTGTTAAATAAAGAACTGAAGTATACAGCACAAAATTAAAAAACGAGCGTACACTTTCGGATTAAAAATTTATAAATGCCTTGTGGTAATGCAATATCATCAAGAAAAAGACGCATACAGAACTTCTGTTTGCTTACGCAAACAGGAATAAATACACATCGGTACATATTACATATTCTGTAGTCTTTTTATTCTGCTTATGCTTTTGATAACTAACATGTTCATCACTGAACTACGTGATGACCATGTAGTTAGAACCCTTCTGCTCTGCTCCCGTGAGCTCCACCTGCAGTATTGTGTTCACCTCTGACATACCCACCGTCAGGAAGATGTGGACCTGTTGGAGCAAGGCCGGAGAGGGGCCATGGAGATGATCAGAGGGCGGAGGTGCCTGCCCTCTGCCCCCACCAGGAGGATGGGCTCAGAGATTTGGGGCTCTTCAGCCTGGAGAAGAGAAGGCTCCAGAGAGACCTTACAGTGGCCTTCCAGTCCCTGAAGGAGACTACAGGAAAGCTCAGGAGGGACTCCCTACCAAGGGGCTGCAGTGATAGGAAAAGGGATAACAGTTTTAAATTGAAAGAGGGAAGGTTTAGATTAGATTTTAGGAAGAAATTCTCTACTGTGAGTATGATGAGACACTGGAACAGGTTGCCCCAGAGAAGTTGTTGATGCCCCCTCCCTGGAAGTGTTCAAGGCCAGGTTGGACGGGAATTTGAGCGGCCAGTTCTAGCAGAGGTGTCCCTGCCCATGGCAGGGAGGTTAGAACTTGGGTGATCTTGAAGGTCTTTTCCAACCCAAATCAGTCTATAATTCAGTTAATTTCTCCTCTGCATGAGACACTAAAGTTTTGACTGTCTGTCCAGAATTCTGAGTGGCAGAGTGCAACTGCAATTCAGAGTCTGTTGAGTCATCTTTTTTATTATAATAATAATAATTAAAAAAAACCCCAAAACAATAATAATAATAATAATTTCTCTACTCAGTGATGTTGGCTAGTGGACATCCTGTATCCTCTGCACTGTCCTGATGTTGGATTAGTGTGGATTGTAAACAGTGCAGGCAATTTGAGGAATTTCACTGCTGGGGGGGGGAATTATGGAGGTGAGATGGTCTCATTACATGGCTCTGTTCTGAAATAGCGAAGTATGTCTAGGCATATCTGAGAGAAACACTACTGAGTTTTCCTGAAAATCTTTCTTGAAATTCTTTTCACAGACTCTGGTTAATCAGTTAGTGTTTTATCTAGTTTTCTATTTATGACCTACATTTCAGCAGCAGATAGCGTTGGTTTTGAGTATCTATGTTTGCAGTCATATGTTTTTCCTGTTTTCTGTTGACTGAATGAGCCCAATTTCTTCAAATTCTTTGTCTTTATACATAAAAACTTTGTTTTGCAATCTATAGACATTTTCTAAACTTCTAGTGTAGAACATAGACTGACATATTACTTCAATTTTGTCATCACCATCACGGATGTATGAGAACTACTCTTGGTTTAATGTATCACACCTTTTAAAACATCATAGCATAATGACAGTTCTGTTGTGGCTTTTTTTTTTTACCACCACGGCATTACAGTGCTGTACAGTCAATCAGCTTCTGTTTCCGTTTAGTTCCAAATCTTTCTGTGCAATGCTGCAACCTGGCTGATTACTTTCTTTTTATTAAAGACATCTTGGAGTATGTACTTTTTCTTAATTTTTAAAAAATTTCTATTTTTTTCTTAACTGAATTTGCCTTCATTGAGTTTCAGGAGGGTGCTTTTTTGTTTTTTTTCCTAATTTCCTTCCTTTTTTGGTTGGGTGTATCCTCTGACTTACCTTTCTGTCCTTCTATTTTCTGCCTAATCGCTGTTTTTCCTTGTCAGTGTTTCAGCCCTGTGATCATAAAGATTGAGGTGCTTGTGCTTGCAGCTTGGTAGCCGTAGCTGCAGTTTGGCGTCGGATGTCACTGTTCCCTTCCCCTCTCCACAGTTCTCAGGGCCCTTTGGCGTTATGCTCCCCACTTCGTGCCTTTCCCTCCCCGTGCCGTTTTTGTGTTCCACCTCTTTGATGAGGAGTTGTTTGAGGAGCGAGGGGTACCTGCCGCCAACCTAGGACATCTTCTCATTCCTTGTCATGTTTCGTCATGAAACATGTGCTTGGAATAAGTCCTGCTGGTTTGCACCCTTGTTTCTTGCTGTGTACGGCTCCTCTCTTGTACTTTTGTGACTGTAATGGTTAAAACATCAAAAATTGCTGTTTTATGGAAACACTGATCCCGTAGGTGCGATTGGAATTTGGGAACTAAGGAACTCGATGATCTTATGTGTAAAGAATTTGTAAGCATAAGCTTAACTGGCACACAGGCCAAGTTTTCCAGTTGTCTACTAGTAAAAGTGCTTCTGCCAATGTTGCATTTACCTTGTCTTAGAAAAAAAGTTAAACCTTTTATTAATTCTGTGTTTCCAGAAATGTTTGAGATGGATAGTTTAGAAAAGTGGAGACTTGGCTTTTCTTGGAGAATAATTAACTCTGCAATGTTTGTCAAACAGAAAAAGACATGTCTTCTGAAACTACTGTGCAATGTCGTATTTCTGCTAATTATAATGTAATTGCTGAAATGCAGTGAGGTGTCAATTCACCTATGCAAATTACTTTTCTTCATCTTTATGTAAAAAGCTGTATTTATAGACTTGTTTCTCTAGTTATGCGTAGGACCAAGGTTTCTTGTGCATGTCGAATGAGTGCGAGAGGATGCATGGTGGTCCTTATGAATAAACGGGCACTGACTTACTCAGCTTGCATTTCCACGAGAGATATGGCATGAATACTTTTATTTGCTTATTCAACACTGGCTGAATAATTTCTTAACACCATCTTTCTAAAGATGCAGTAGTCGTTTCTGAACACCAATGAATATTTGTGTATTTTGAAGTATCTAACATAAACAATTACTTACTAAGCTTAATTTGTTTGCTCCTTAGTAACAAATTAACATGCAATTTTCAAATAGGTTACTGATATTATACAGTGCCTTGGAAAACTGGAAGAAATGAGACTTTGTGTTTTGTAAACTAAAACTGAAACTGCACCTTTAAAGTAAAGATTTATTAAGAACTTCTTATTAATGCTCTTATACAGCTATGATAGTAAATCGCCAAGAGCTTGCATTGCCAATTGCTGATTTTTTTTCTTTTAATAATATGCTGCATGTAGACAAAGATGACCTGTCCCCAACTGCTGAGGTTTGGGATGTAGACCAGGGACTAATAAGTAAACTGAAGGAACAGTACAAGAAGGAACGAAAGGGGAAGAAAGGGGTAAAGAGTAAGTGCAGATTCTGAATCTTGTAATACAACGCTTTTTTGCCTATCTATATAGAAGAAATTTTTTCTCACGAGTTCTGTGTTGTTTTTTGTTTTGGTTGTGTTTTTTTTTCTTCATTGAGCATCATGTTCTGTGATGGGGGCAACCAACTTTAACTTTCTACCTGCTGAATGTGAATATTTCAAAACATTTAACAGCAATTTCCTAGATGACAAGTGTTGAAAACATAAGAAATTAAAGGTTAAATTGGTAAAGAGAGCTCAGTGCTTTCATGTGTGAGTGTAAAAATGTTGAACAATTTGCATTTTGAGGATATTCCTACTCTAAGAAGTTTTCTGAAAGATTTAAACTTTATCTACTTTTTAAAGTATAATACTATGATACTGTTGGGGAAGAGGATGTTTGCTTTTTTATGGTTTTTAACATGGCCTTGAATCAAGCTATAATTGCTATTTCTGTGCTTGTATTTATTTTTACAGTCCAAGGCAATGAGAACAAAAAAGTACCTGTAATGTAAATATGAACCTTTTTGTCTTTGTTTAGAATATAATCTTTTTCTTTATGGTGCCCTTAAATTTTCTGAGCAGTTAACACATTTTGGTTGACACCTTTACTCTTCGAAAGAGTTTTTGTCAACTATACAAAGTTCGTAGAAGACAAAATGTTATTAAATCAGGATCAATCCAGAAAAGCTCCCTTGATTGCAGTGTGTTTTATTTTGGAAACGTATTGTAGCAGTTTGTGGGGATACTTAGTAAAATAAAATATTTTTTTCCTTTATTTGAAAAACTAAATGCATATTAACTAAATTCAGTGATAATTAATATAACATTAAGAATTCTGTAATTATTAAGATTTTAATTGTAACATCTAACAAATTAAAATTCAGTGCATGGTGATTGTTTTCAGCAATTTTGCATGACTTGCACGTACACGCACATAAAAATATAAAATCTTTGATGAAGTAAAGATTTCTACCTGGTCTTTGCTTTGATTAGAACATATCCATTAGCATCCAGACTATTCCTGTATTCTCATTTAACGTGGAAATCAACAGTTGACACTAAATTCACATTAAGTATTCTGTAGGGTTAGAAGCTTCCTTTAGTAGAATGGACGTCTGTTATTTGAAATTTTCTCATTGAACTTCACATATTAGAATCTTGGAAGCACAGTGGTTGCAAAATAACTGCAAATGTTTTGAATTATGGGGGAAAAAAGGAAGTGATTATTTTGGAGATTTTTATAGTTCTAGCTCAAAAAATTTGCCTTTAGGTTATTGCATATGCAAAGTTCTTTAAACCATACTTCTGTTTTGATTCTAGTCTCTGCTATCAAAAGTTAAAGGGAATATTTTCTTCATCTCAAGTAATTTTGAAACCTGCTTGTGCTCACATAAGAGAATATTTAGGAGATGACTGTTGTTAGAAAGCTTAGCCTTTTGGGTTTTAACTCTTTAAATTCTCCTTTGGAAAACCCTGAGCTCGTATAGATGGTGTCGCAGGGTGATTTGTGAGGTTCTGCACTCACTCATCACTTTGAGGATAGCAGCTTCTGATTCAAAATTGGCCTCTAAATCACTGAGCTAGTTGAATAAGAGAACTCCACACGCAGGTAGAAGTATGCATTTAAGTTTGGACACGTTTATTTAAATTTTATTTGCTTTTTCCTCAGCTTTTTTAAGATTCTGAGACTGCAAATAATGTTGAAGGCCTTCTTTGTTCCGGCTTCGCATGTCTGATCCTTCATGAGCGTTCTGAATATTCATCTCTTACTTTGCTCTCCAGTGTGTTGTCAGAAGTTGTTTCAAGCAATACCAGAATTTATCTGCATGGCAGTGGATATATCGTCAGAAAGAACAAATGAATGTGTGCTGACTGTCACCTCTTGCAGTACTTTGAGGGCAGCGTAACAGGGCAGACATTCTGTCAGGTTCTTGCGTTGCCTCTGCATCTTGTAACTGCCAAAATCTGCGCTTAGACTCTTGTCTTTGTAACAGAGGCGTCTTATCCCTGGCCCCGGTACTGCAGCTTTCTTTCCAAACCTAGAGATAAATGAGCAAGAAGTACAGTTGATTCTGGTTTGATTCTTCTGTAGTCTGTATTCAGATGTTTTCTTTTGGGTGGAACACCTTAATTTAGGTCATCTGTCAGCACATGTATTCTAATAATGCAGTATTTCTTTTTGATTTTTGGATCTTTTTCCTGTCATTAACAGTCACTTTGTTCTGTGGAAATACTACTTCCTTGTGAAGGAATCTTTAAAACAAAAAAAACAAACCAAAAAAACACCTGAAGTTTAATTACCTTTATAAAATCAGCTGTAAAACAAGCCAAAACTTGTTTATTGAAGTGTTCTTAGATTTAAAAAAAACAAACAAACAAAAAAAAAAACCAAAAAACAACCAAACCGAAAAATACACAAACCAACCACAACCTATTCTTGGACTTTGTTGTGGTAAATAGATGAGGAGTTAGCTTTGCTTTCTAGAAAACCAGGCTTACCTTTTGCAGTAATGTGCTGAATTTAAGGCTAGTTTTTTGCCCAAGTCTGATAAGACCAGTTTTGGCAGGTAAATCAGGGATTGATATTTTTTCACATGTAGTCTCTCACATTTTCAGAGCACGAGTGGTGATGATGCATATCTCATTCCATACTATCAAGTCACCATAACATGTTGTCAGCAATCTGAAAAATAGCTTTCACATCTTAAATTGCACGTGTACATCAGTAAGATTCTCTTACTGATTTCCCTTAGTTTCCTTGAAACTTTTCTCATTTTTCACTTTCTTGCTCTTTTCCCCAGTTGTGTTGCGTTTATGAAACAGCATCTGTCCCGCTCACTTTACTAGCTTTGATTTCTGGAAATGTGGTGTGAAAGCTCATAGGCAGGAAAACAGATGTTGATTTTACTGTCTTCGTTACCATCACCTGCTGTTACAGAAAGATCCTTGTGTCATATTCAGACTTGGGCTGTTGGATTAAATGATCTCTAAGGTCCCTTCCAGCCTAGGCCATTCTATGATTCTATGATTACACCTTGGGGCTAACAGAAATCTGCTTATGGATTCTCAGACTACAACTTCTCAGCACTGAATATTCAACTACTTTTTTCACTTTGGGCCTCTGAAAGAGGATACACCGAGATGGAATTGTAGGTGCTTTGCTATTGTTCATTACAGGTTTGCGTTTACTGATGGATTTTTAAATTATTTTTTATCTAGTCTTTTCTTGAGGATAAAACAGTCATCCAGTTTGTGCCTCGAACGTAGCTGCTTATGCGAAGACGGCACATTCTTTAAAAAATCTTTGTAGTATTGAAAATTATTCCAGCAATTACATGAATGTGCACTTGCGCTTATTTGAAAGGAGAGGTCTGCACAGTCTTCTGTGGTGGTGGCACGTTCTTGAATATTGACATTTTTCAGCATGAAATACAGAGAAGTTGTTGGGAATAGCACCTGCTCATGTGCCAGCTTCAGAAGGAAGTTACTCTCTGTATTGTATGATGGATTAAGAGCTGTTCTAAGGTTATATCTGAAGGACAAGAAGTGACTAAACATTCTGAAAAACATTAAAAGGCAAGGCTGACAGTTCCCCTGTGAGTGACTTACTGAATGGCTGACTGACTGACGGCAGCAGCACAGAGAGGCTGCTTCTCGTTCCTTCTGAGTGTGCTCAGAGACACGTTCCTCACGCCCGTGTATTTGGTGTGAAACCGCTTCCAAAAGGTGCTCCCAGTTTGGATGTAAGAGTTTACAAGCCATTTTTGGCAGTTTCCGTCCGTGTGTTGAACAGTTCACGTGTATTGACATGGAGAAGACAGGTTTTCTTCCGGAAAGCACAGGGCGTATTAAATTAGACAGGTTAGGGCACCAGTCATGACTTTTATCGTGTTGATTGCTCCGTATCTTCAAGAATGTCTACTGCTGGTCAGTGGAGGTGGCTGGCTGATGGCCAGCTGGAATAAAGACAAAAGCAAGCTTTGTGGTCTTTTTGGTAGAGACGTGACCGTTTTAAGAGTGCCTTTTTAATACGAGCTCTCACCTGCTGGCTGCCGTTAAGAATTGTATCTTTGAAATGAAATCCTATCAGTTTAGTGGTTATTAGAAAAAAATTATTGGTGCAAGAGGGACATTCCTCATTTTTATTATTTTTACACTCATCTCATTAACTGATATCACAGGTTTCTAGACTCACTTCTACTTGAAAGTGAAATGAATCTTTAACCACTCAAGAAATCTGTTCTGCTGAATACGGGAAACTCTTAGAAACCATTTTTGTTCTCAAACAACTTCTGGGTAGGAGCCTTTGTAGATTTAACAGGAATACTAAATGTCCCATAAAAGAAAGGGAGAAAAATATCAAAAGCACACTAAAAAAAAGTACAGAGAGTTTGTTCATTTGGCAAAACAAAAATATTTTGCATGTATTAATGAGAATAGTTGTTATATAGCATACCTCTTGGGGTATGTGGTATACTTTTGCTATGATACTACTTCAGAAATGTTTTTCCATTGTCATCCTTCTCTCGGGAGAATTCTTCGTTATCTCCAGATAATTCAATTATCAATGGATACTTATTTTTGAACACATGAATTGTAACAGTTTTTTGTCAGCGAGATCTAAAAGTTGCAATACTATTTGAAAGTGTATTTTAGTGTTTAACTTTTTAAGCAAACAGTTCTGCTTTTGATAGGTCATATATAATTACAGGTTTAATCTTTTACCTTTTTGAGAATAAAGGTGGTGTCATTTTGATTTCTTTTTTTAATAAAAATGGTACATGTCACCTCAGAACGTAAGAAATTGTCTCATAATGCTTTACTGAAAAAGACATATTTGAAAATTATTTAAGTTCTAATACACCCTTTTAAAAATAGTAAACATATATTTTTTAACAAGTTTAAAAGCACAATTTTTGGCAGCCATGTAGTGGGGTTTTTTGTTTTAAATGTTCTACAACCTAACTGCCTGCAGTCCCAGGAAGGACTCGGTTGTCCGTTAAAAGCTGGTTAGTCTTGCATCATTGTGGATTGTTTTCTTTAAAGGGATTCTGTCACTGAAATTTCACTTCATGACTGTAGCTTGACTTTTTGAAATGCAAGCTGTGAGCAGGTATGAATTCATTAATTTTAAAAATAAATTAGAACATCCTGTTCTTGTTTGTGTATTAAGTTAATGACACTAACAAACAATTCAGTGTGCTTTGTTTCTAGCGGCATGCTTGGACGAGAAGGGTAACGGACACCTGCACTTTCATACAGTGGCAGAAGCATTCTTGCTCTTGTGTTTGATAAGCAGTTTATACGATTTCAATACCATTCAAAAGCAGGGAAAGTTAATTGTTCGTTGCACCCCATTTATGAGTTGTTTGTACTTTTTGCCTCATTTTTAAGCTTATTTTTTATTCGCACTCTGTTTTTCAGTGTTAAATGGTTTAGTATAGTTATAATTGTGTAATATTATTGGCAAATGTTTTAATTCATGCATATGTTGTTTAATAGTTAATGTTATTTTAATATTTGGCTTGACTTCTCCATAGGGGTGTAAGATGATTTTTTTTCTCTCCTACAGGAAATTGTAGAATAGATCTACAGAACACGAAGGAGTTATTCCTTGATTTAGTGAATTAAAACTGTTTGCATGTAGTTTGCAGATTTGATGTTATTAACTCCTGATTTCCAGAAGATCAGTTATATTAATATACAAAGACAAAAGAAACAAAATTGTGTTTATTTTAAGGAGGTCCCATCAGTAATTATTCTTGTTTGAGTAGTTTAATGGATTTTTAGACTTCAGTCAAGTCAAGCGGTAGCAATCAAATGAATCTTTGCTGCTGACATTAATTTACAGGAGTCAACAGGACAAAACTTCACGACATGATAGCTGATCTGGGCGATGATGAGATACCCCACATCCCTTCAGGAATCATTAATCAATCTAGGTCACCCTCTTCTAGAATGACTGATCATGAAGGTGCAAGAGCAGAGGAAGGTACAAAAAATTCAGCTACTTATTATATTTCAGGAGATTTCTTTTAGAAGGCACACGCTCTCATTTACTGTCCCCTCTATAAAGCTTACTGCAACTGCAGATTGCCACATGATTTTATTTGGAGTCCTTCCCAAATGGTTTTATGAGAATGTGGCTTGAGTTTCTGTGGCTTACTGTAACTCACCATGATTTCATAAGTATTTTTAAACAAATGTACGGCAGTGTGTTTTGAAACTATTCACTATTAAACCCCTGTTTGCAGACATCCCCCCCTTAGCAAAACCTTTTAAAAATAGGGTGTTATTGATTGAAGGGAAGAAAAGGTGAGTATTAACATTTAATACACAGTTTGTGTTTTAAAGTGAAATGTAAAAGTGGTTATTTAAGTTATGAGATAAATTTGTCTCTTTTTCCTCACGTTTAATGTTCTCTTTATTAAAAAAAAAAATCTTTTGGTCTATATACACAAATGTACAAAACCACTATTTCTTTACAAAATATTGGCTTCAATTTCCAGATTATCCGAGGCACTGGAAGTTAGTGGCAAATTAGTCTAAATAATCCAAAATCTTGTATTCAGCTTTAAGTTTTTTGCTTTAAAGGAATGAAGAATGGTTTTCCTTATATTAATTTTGAGATGAGAATACTGTTGTGTAAATTTGTCTTCTACTTGCAACGCACTCATTCAAAATACTCAGCTGAATTCAGAATTGGCTCCTTTATGATGTTGGCTCCTAAGCCTTGGCATGGTATCAGCTATACCACAAGCGGAAAAAACTTGTGTTATTACTGATCCTGATAATTTGTTGGTTCTCCTATTCTTCCTTCACCTGTGCCCACACAAATGCCTGTCACCAGGCAAGCAGAAAAATACAAGTTTTTCAGGGAGATTTTTTATTGCTTTCCCAAACTACTGCTTTACAAAAGCATTTGTCTTCCCACCTTCCATTTCATCTTTGATCTACCACTCAAAGATGCATCAAGCATCAAACCTACCTGTGGAGTGCAATTGGCAAACCTGCTGAGAAAGTTCCACGTGCTGAAGCTTATGAATATACATTGAAGTTGTGTTTAGGTTTAGTGTTCACATGCTTTAGGTTGCCATTTAGTCTTGTTGAAGCATTAAGCACACGTAACCCTACGCTTATCACTGTATCGTAGGTGGATATTCTCAGGCCACACGTGTTGTGCAAAGGAACACGGATGTTAAGGATAGGCCATATAGATGTTGTCTCTTTTAGAGACTTTACATCTAAAGTAATATTGGACAAAACAGTCGCTCTGAAGAAATAGATGCTAAATATGAATTTCACAGAATCACAGAATGTTAGGAACTGGAAGGGACCTCGAAAGATCGTCTAGTCCAATCCCTCTGCCAGAGCAGGAACACCCAGACGATGTTACACAGGAAGGCATCCAGGCGGGTTTTGAATGTCTCCAGAGAAGGAGACTCCACCACCTCCCTGGGCAGCCTGTTCCAATGTTCTGGTACCCTTACTGAGAAGAAGTTTCTTCTCAAATTTAGGTGGAACCTCTTGTGTTCCAGTTTAAACCCATTACCCCTCGTCCTACCAT